GAGAGATACACACACACAGACACACACACACACAGAGACACACACACACAGAGAGACACACACACACACACAGAGACACACACAGACACACACACAGACACACACACAGACACACACACACACAGACACACACACAGACACACACACACAGACACACACACACACACACACACACACACACACACAGACACAGACACACACAGAGACCACACACACACAGACACAAACACACCACCACACACACAGAGACACACACCACACCAACACACAACACACACACCGACACACACAGAGAGACACACACACACACACACACACACAAGAGGACACACACAACACACCGACACACACACACACAGGACACACACACACACAGACCACACACACACGAGACACACACACACACACAGACACACACACACACAACACAGACACCACACACAGACACACACACAGACACACACACAGACACACACACACAGACACACAACACACAGACACACACACAGACACACACACACCACACACACACCAGACACAGACCACACACACAGAGACACACACCACACAGACACAACACACACACAGAGACACACACACCACACCAAACCACACACCACACACACACAGCACACACAGAGAGACACACACACACACACACACCACCACACAGACACACACACACACAGACACACACACACACAGACACACACAACACAAGACACACACACACACACAACCACACAGACACACACACACACAGACACACACACACACAGAGACACACACACACACACACACACACACACACACACCCACACACACGTAGTGTGACGGCAGCAGCTGCGTGTTTCCTCTCCTGCTGTTCACATCAGGAAACACACAATCTGCAGGAACATTTTTATATTTCAGCTGCAAAACAATACGACGATAATATCCAAGTATTTCTGCGTATTCATGTTTAAAGTCTGATGTCCTGCAGAGCTGCTCTGTTTGCTGGAGATGAGTGAATATCGTTCACCTGGGAGACACTTCTGTTTGGATTCATATGTATTTGTTATTATTATTAAATCTATTGAATTCACGGTCAGATTTCAGTCCTCATACGTTTATATTACTATTTAACTGTTTTATTATTTAACTGTTTGCAGATCTCAGTAATTTATCTTATTATCTTTAAGTTATTCACATTAAGAGAAAATGCTAATTATAATCACATGTTCCAGCAGCTGTGCTCAAACCACCTCTGTGTTCTGCATTAATGAAACAGTCTCTGATTATCCATCGACTGAAACCTCGAGCTGAGATAAGAAGTCTCCACAGATACCCTCGAGTACGGGCTCAGACCAGTCTCATAACACACATGTGCGCACAGAAGGATCCACACTTGTGTTTTTCAAAGCACACACAAATGTGTTCCGTTTCATATTCATGTAAATAAAATCCAAACACAGAGAAAAGTTGTACATGTGTATTTTTGATCCTCTGAACCTGCAAACACAACCCGCTCTCTGTGCACGGATCGCTGTGCACGGATCGCTGTGCACGGATCTCTGTGCACGGATCGCTGTGCACGGATCGCTGTGCACGGATCGCTGTGCACGGATCGCTGTGCATTCGTGTGTGGGTTTTTGAGACTCCCCTGACGGTCAGCCGATTCGTACTTGTAATTTGTTCTATCTATAGCCAATCAGATGTCTCCTCAATTCTAAGCCAATCACATGAGCACACTTCACATACGCATTTTGCGCAGTCCGGTCAGCTCGCTAAAACAGAGGGCGGAGCATCAGGTGATCATGCAGAGCTGCGTGTCTCCGTCAGACTCAGCAGCTGATCTGATCTCTCTCTCGTCCGGTTATACTTCACTCGCGTGTATGTCCATATCGATCAGATCCTCCTGATCGGCCTTTATAGAGAGCACCGATCAAACTATTAAGAGTGAATATCGGCCGATAATGACCGGCGGGGCTCCCCCCGTTAACAGGTAGGGTGACCAGATGTCCCGCTTTGCGCGGGACTGCACAGCATTTTCACGACTTTTGGTGCGTCCCGCAAATTGAGACGATGTCCCGCATATTTCATTTTGATTGGCTAAAACGCTTTTCTTTAAAATCAGATTTATCCAATGGCTGTTGAGAAAGCAGTGAAGGATATCATCACCGGGGTATTTGCTGTCAATCAAACTGTAACACACGGCGGGTGCTGGTCAAGTGTTAACCAATGAGAGTAACTCACTCACACACAGCCCTCCGCCAAACAACAACAACAACGAAAGTCAGTCAATAACGCAGGCGAGGCAGCAGGTTATGGAAAATGGAGGAAACTGAAACTACAGCTAAGAAGAAAAGAAGATGCACATACAACAAAGACTGGGAAGACCCTAACCCGTGGGTGAAACCGGTGCAGGGCGACTCCCAGAGAGTTTTTTGCAATCTTTGCAAGAGTAATTTTTCAATTTCACATGGCGGTGAATACGACGTCAAAAGACACCGAGAATGCGATTCTCACAAGAAACGTGTCGCTCAAAAAGAGACATCCCACTCTATGGAGACATTCCTACTCAAACCAAAAAATGATGGCCACTCAGACAAGGTAACAGCAGCAGAAATAACCAGTGTTTACCATACAGTGCAACACTCCCAATCATACCGGTCAAATGACTGGTAACAAGTTGGCGCCGACCATTTTTCCAGACTCTGAGATAGTAAAGAAAATGTCATGTGGTCGCACAAAAGCAGCGTCCATAATAACAGATGTGCTTGCCCCTGCCTCTGGAGAGTTGTTTGACAGAGTTAAAGACACCAGTGGTTCTAGGTGACAAAATAGCCCACACACTGTGGGGGGGAGGAGGGGGGGCCACACCTGTTGTTGCTGTGATGCACAAAACTGAAAGCTATTTTATTTTATGTATTATTATGTTTTTGTTCCCTCCTGGCCAGTTTTGATTTGTACTTATGGTTTTATTTGATCTATTAATTTATGTTGTGCCTACTTTTACAGGTAATACACTAGTTGAATTAGGAAGATGCATTTCTAAACACTTGCCTGCTGCCTTGGTTAGCCTTAGTTTACTATTCTTTATTAAGATACTAAATTATTACTGCATTTTGACCTCACTTTCTGTCATTGTTTATTGGATGCTGTTGAATAAACCAAATTAAACAGAGGGGGGGGCGGGGTGCTGTTGAGAGGGTGTCCCACACAAACATACTCCTTGTCCCACATTTGGTTTGTTGGGACCTGGTCACCCCGTTAACACCTCTAGCACTGGCTTCGTAGTGCACTGATCGATTAGGCTAAGCTAACCTGTAGCTGCTCCCTCCACACTCACAACAACTTCATACAGACATGAATAAAGCAGCTGTATTCGCCATACAGGAAACACACATTTAAAACGGGTTTGCCTGCCGTTTTTGTGAACACAAGCATTCATCAATGGTTTGGAAAGTGGCGCTGTACCTTAATAATATAAAGGCTTGTATTTGCTGCATTTCCTGTTCGGAAAGTGGCGCTGTACTGAGAGTGGAGGGTGTCCTGAGATTAGCGCCTGCAGGCTCCATGGAGCTGTCAGCTCCGGACTGCGCAAAATGCATACATGAAGCGCTACGTCATGAACGCAAGAAATCTACCCTCGTGGGGGCGCGCTCATGTGATTGGCTTAGAATTGAGGAGACATCTGATTGGCTATAGATAGAAAAAATTACAAGTACGAATCGGCTGACCGTCAGGGGAGTCTCAAAAAACCCACACACGAATGCACAGCGATCCGTGCACAGAGAGCGGGTTGTGTTTGCAGGTTCAGAGGATTCAAACGGAAAGCTAATATGTGAGGATCAAAAATACACATGTACAACTTTTCTCTGTGTTTGGATTTTATTTACATGAATATGAAACGGAACACATTTGTGTGTGCTTTGAAAAACACAAGTGTGGATCCTTCTGTGTGCACATGTGTGTTATGAGACTGGTCTGAGCCCATACCCCTGACGCTCAGCCGATTCGTACTTGTAATTTTTTCTATCTATAGACTGGGTTGGAGAATTGCACAGGGGGAAATAACGTATCTATGCCACAATTTTAGATGCGGATTTTGTTAAACTATACGTTTGCGCTGTGGACCAACACTATACATTGACGGGGAAGGGGGTAGCAATAAAGATAACACCATTAAACAGTTACACAACATAACAGAAATAATATCGATAGCAGCGTCCCTAGCAACCACCTTGGTAACAATGAAAACGTTGTATGGACACAACTTCCTGAAGTAATCTTCGTAATAACTAGCAAACTAAAGATCATGTACATCCACTGCACACATAATCTGAAATAACAACTCATATTTCTCGCATGAAATGACATCAAAACGCATTTTAATGGCCAAACTAACCTTAAAATAGGCATTTTACACCCAGAATAAAACGAAGGTCGGCCATGTTTTTTCTTCTGCAGGGAGAAAGTTGAAGATCACGTGACATAGACGCCAGCCATTGGAATGAATGGTGAAAAAAAACGTAGGGATCTTACAATTTCAGAGACGTTTTTGTAGAAATACTACGTCCTACGTTGGGGACCAACGTAGTTATTACACGTTTAGATGTGAGACTGGGTTGGATGAGCTGGTTTACGGTTGAAATCTGGTGTGTTTTGAGATGGCTGCGTTGAATGTGGTTTTGAGATCTGGTCTTGATGCAGCAACTTCCTCCCATTGGAGACAATAGAGTTGCTAACCTTGACCAACTAAAGTCCATTCGCATTTAGAGTCAAGAGCAGAAACTAGAACCTGGGTGGACGGGTTGAGGGAAGTGTTTTATGTTTTAAAGAGTGTGTACTGACCCTGTGTGGAGCATGAAGACTCAACAACTGAAAGAGGACTCACTGTGGGCTCTTGGGGGTACTTCAGTTTCTTTCTGAGTAACTTAAAGACCCAGGTTGTGTTTTAAAGAGTGTGTACTGACTGAGTGCATTAACTCACACAACAACAACTGAACTGGACTCACTGTGGGCTCTTGGGGTAGAAGGGCAGCGTCACGTGGCTCAGCTCGCTGATGTCGCAGGCATTGGGCTCGGCGGAGATGGCCTGCCGCTTGCTGCGATGCTTGTCCGGCTGCAGGACCAGGTTCTGCTGGTTCTGGACCTGCTGGGCGGTGGCGGGTCGCAGGACGGACCGGTACTTGTCCAGCTCGGTCTGCAGATGCTGGATCAGCTCGTCCTTCTGGTCCAGCTCCAGCTCCAGTTCGTCGATCAGGGCGTCTCGCTGCCGCAGCTCCTCGATCTTCTCCTGCAGGGCATACTGAAGGTCCCGCAGGGTCCCCATCGGACCGGGAGGAGGTAGAGGGTCCTCCAGAGGGTCCGAGAGGAGGTATCAGCTCCTCCAGAGGGTCCAGGAGGAGGTCTCAGGTCCTCTAGAGGGTCCGGGAGGAGGTATCGGGTCCTGTAGAGGGTCCGGGGTTCGTCTGTGGTCCCCAGGTTGACTCTGGATCAGTCCCTATAGTGTTTGTAAAGAGTTAGTTAGTGTTTAACCCTAGAGCAGCGGTTCCCAACCTAACAAACAATACAGAGGCTAAATAAAGTTTGGATTAGTCAATTCAGAACATGTGACACGTTGTTAATCCAGTAGAACAGACCGCTGTCAAGGACTGTAATGACCTTTGGTAGGAAGGATCAAGAAAGAGCCCTAACCCTAAGCGAAGTGGTTGTCCTTGACTCCTTTGGCTCTTAGAGTTCCTTCAGACGATCTAGTGGACCCTTGATTGATGAGTCTTGGTGAGTTCTTCGATTTGATAGATCTTTCTGGGTTAATAAAACAAAAGCCTTCCCCTAGTTCTTTAAAGACTTGTAGGTTTTCTTTAGATGATCTGAAGGGTCCACTATGCGTCTGCGGTCTCTTCTGGGTACCCCCAGGTTTCTAGAGAACTTTTGATTTGAATCAAAGCTCTCTTAGTGAGTGTCTTTGGAATCGTAAAAGATAGTCCACCTACCTTCTGGGTGACCCAAAGGAAAGCCTTTCCCTTCCTTTCTCAGGTCCTTGTAGGTCCTTGTCAGTAGACTAAGTGAGAGTCCTAGTGATTCATGGGTCTCCTTTTGGGATGGACCCTTGATTTTCTCAGAGTCTTGGTCCTTTTTTCGATCGGAAACGACACTTCGGTTTATTTCTGGGTAATTAAAAAACCTTAAAGGACACGTATCATGCTATATTTAAATGATATATTGTAGGGCCATACCTATATAAAGTATATTTATACGTTTCTGTTTTCAAAATATCAAACAGATCATGCATTTTAGCCATGCCTCATTTCGCTCTATTTGCTGTTTCCAGCCCTGTTTTTGATTCTGTGAGCTGCAGCTGACCACGCCCCCCTGCAGCTGACCACGCCCCCCTGCAGGAGAGGGGAGCGTGCTCTGATCAAGTCAGAAGAGGGGGAGAAAAAGAGATCTCCGTCCTCCGTGTTTTCTTATATGATTACATAGAGTCGTTATTCATTTGTTTTAAAGCTCAATAAATAACAAAGAAGACCTTTGACCGGCACTTTTCTAATTTTGTCCGGAGGATTTAAACTTTAATGGACATGTTGACCGGCGAACTGAAACTCTGCCGCACGGTCCCCTCGTCCCTTGGAAGAGGCGGAGAGGTGGGTGTTTTTTATCTGCTGGTGGCCTACCGGAGAGAATTACAGCAGGAGCAAACGCTTGCCTCAGGGAGGGAGAAAAAGAGCAACAGCGGAGAATAAACAGAAGGGCAACCATGGCAACCATGCGCGGGAAGTCTTCTTCGCTGCTTTTGTGGCAGACTACAGCGCCACTTACAGGCCTGGCATATGTACTACAGCGTCTCCAGCGCTTTCGAGCGGCAATGGCCGGCCGTGGCCCAACCTCTCATTCCCCTGATAGGTGGAGAGTTGACCAATAGCTGTAGCGCCACTTCTGTGACGTCAGGACAGTGTTCAAATCTGGATCAGTCTGTATCAGATCCGTTGCAGCCCCGTTTTTAGAGATTTGGGTATGGAGGAAAAGAGAGAGGGTTGTATTTTCTGACACTTGGTGAGTTCCCTGGAACACCGGGGACACATGTTCATGTATAAAAGACGTACAAGAGTGCATTTTGCATGATAGGTCCCCTTGAACCTTGATTAAGCCTTCCTCTAAGTTTCTTTTAGGTCCCTTTAGGTATTCTTAGGGGATTCAGGATCACGGATTTTGACGAGTATTGGCAATTTCTCAAATTTCTAAAAAGTAAGTCAGTTTCTTTCTGAGTAACTTAGAGACCCAGGTTATAACGCAACCCTCTACCCCAGTGCTTCTCAAAATGTGGTCCGCGTGAGCGCCCCCTAGTGGTCCGTGAGTATATTGGTAACATTTCACATTTGAAATTAATTAATCAATTTAAGTTTTCCGCACTCTCGCGGAAATATCTCCGCAATGGAGCGAGGTTAAGTTTCACTTTTGATTGCATGATATAGCCCAGCACAACACCTTCATCACACATGTTGCCACTTGTTTGTACCATTTTCAGGCGATTTGTAATCTGTTCTAGAAAAACGATGTGTTTTTTTATATTTGTGGAGTTAGGTGGTCCGCGAGGGTTTATTTATTGGTTAAGTGTCCTTGGTATGAAAACGTTTGAGAAACACTGATCTACCCTGTAGTTCTCATGGTCTTTCCGGTCCTTCAAGTGTTGTTAGGGGGAGCCTGGGGTCTTTTGGGGGGCTCTTCCTGCAGATTTCCTCCTCCAGGGTGGTTCCTGAGGAGTGCTTCTGTTGTCACTCTATCCTTTGATATCTCCAGGTTCCTCTACAGACTCATATTTCCATAAACGTATCCTCTCCGTCTTCCAGGAAATAAAAGTGGTTTTAAAAAGACGAAGAACAGAAATCAGAGCCGGATAAAAGCTCTGCTCCCCGGGGTTCTTCCTCTAAATTCAATTTAAATTAAATTAAACCTCCAGGACTCCTCTCCACCTCCAGGACTCCTCTCCAACTCCATGACTCCTCTCCACCTCCATGACTCCTCTCCACCTCCAGGACTCCTCTTCACTTCCAGGACTCCTCTCCACCTCCATGACTCCTCTTCACCTCCAGGACTCCTCTCCACCTCCAGGACTCCTCTCCACCTCCAGGACTCCTCTTCACCTCCAGGACTTCTCTGCACCTCCAGGACTCCTCTGCACCTCCAGGACTCCTCTCCACCTCCAGGACTCCCCTCCAGGACTCCTCTCCACCTCCAGGACTCCTCTCCGGCAGCAGGACTCCTCTCCGGCAGCAGGCTCGCCTCCAGGGTTAGTGGGGGAAATAAAGTGGAGAGTCTCCTGGCTGATTAAACCCACAGGCATTACACTTGAATATATAATGAATAAAACCTGCACATCTAAGGCTGTATCTCTGTCATATTTTTATATTTTATTTGTAGTTGTGTGGTACTTATTTCTCTACCCTCTATATCTTTGTAGTGTTGATCTGTATATCTCGTGTGCTTTAAAGCATGCACTCACCGGTTAAAGATGAACAAAGTGCCTCTCTGTTTACAGGTTGCAGGGGACCTGAACCAGCATCAGATACGCAGGCTGGAAAGTGAAGCCGATTCCTCCGCGCAGAAGTGCAACATCAGCTTCCTGTCGGGTGTAATCCTCAAAGGGGATTCAGAAGGCAGGAGAATCCCCGCAGCTGTGACACATCCGGATACAACCGAAACGCTCCTGCACACTGAAGCCCGACAGGAGGAGAAGAGATCCGGCTCACGTGTGGAGAGGAGACCCTTAGGAGGAGGAGGAGGTCTGAGTGCGTGCAGAGAGGAGGAGGTGCAGCTCAGATGCATGGAGAGGAGGTGCAGCTCCTTTAGTTTCACTTTGATGCGGAGCAGAAACTGAGTTGTGCCTCCTCCTCTTCTAAATATATCTGTCTGTGTGTCGATGCCCCTCTTCCTCACACCGAGGCACACGCGCTCAACGTGAGTTCATTCTCCTGCAAAACAGACTTGGAAATATATTTTAAAAACACTACAGCGTGATGCAAAAATGTTTTAAAAAGATTAGAAAAATATGCAAAAATAAGGACGTAAACAATGCAAGCAAGGCTGCAAGAAGCTGCACATTAAACAGAGGTCTGCAACAAGCAAGAATACGGAGAATCTTAACACAAACAAATCGGAACACAACGTTATCTCCATGTAACGCTCGACCCACAGCTTTATTCATTTATACTTTAAATGACAAAATATTGTAGAATATAAACTCTAGTATCTCGCTCTGCCTGACTCACCTGCGCCTCTCTGCGCTGTGGCGCCCCCTGCTGGCTGCTCACTGTCAGCACACCTAACCTGTCAGTTTGAGAGGAGACAGATAACATCTGTGATCAAATCAACTTGTAAATAAAATCATAAAGTTGAATCCATCTTCTTTTCCGGCGAGAATGAGCTAAATATGATCTAAAAATACATTCAAATCTCACATTGCAGTATTTGTTTCCTAAATGTGACTATTGTATTCAACTTTATTCAACAAAAGGGCGTTGACAAAAAAGTGAAAAATCTGAGAGAGCAACATCTGCCATGTTCTCCTGTGTGTGTGTGTGTGTGTGTGTGTGTGTGTGTGTGTGTGTGTGTGTGTGTGTGTGTGTGTGTGTGTGTGTGTGTGTGTGTGTGTGTGTGTGAAGAGACCTTTGCAGATAGTGACTGTCGTTCAAAGGCCTCCTGCAACACACACACATACACACACTCTTCATCCTGCTGGTTGTACGTGTATTTGCATGTGTGTGTGTGTGTGTGTGTGTGTGTGTGTGTGTGTGGGGGGGGGTGTGTGTGTGGGTGTGTATGTGTGTGTGTGTGTGTGTGTGTGTGTGTGTGTGTGTGTGTGTGTGTGTGTGTGTGTGTGTGTGTGTGTGTGTGTGTGTGTGTGTGTGTGTGTGTGTGTGTGTGGGTGGGTGTGTGTGTGGGTGTGTATGTGTGTGTGTCCACAGATAGCAGCAGGTTAAACATTAACGCCGGCCGGCTCGTAAAGCTAACACCAAGACAGTGAACCTTTGGAGTTTGATATGATGTGATCACACACACACACACACACACACACACACACTCTCTCTCCTCAGAATGACTCTGCTCTGATCGGAGGAGGTGATCTCTGAAATTGCTCGGGTGAGTTTTTCCTCAAATTAACTTTAATGTTTTTTATGTTTTTGTAATTTAACTCCTCAAACACACAGAGTGTGTGTGTGTGTGTGTGAGTGTGTGTGTGTGAGTGTTTATTGTTCTTCGTTGGTGTGTGATGAGGAGGAGGTTAAACGTGGCTGACTGAACAAACAGGCCGAGCCGCTAACGTGTTATAACAGAGAGATAAAAACAGCTCAAATATTAAACAATATACATTTAACCTCTTTAATGCAGTGTAATCATGTTTTTAAAAATATGTTACAGTAGTAAAATAACTCAAATGTTATAGTTAATGTATTTTAACAACTCCATTTAATTGAAATAATGATCATAATTTACAAAAAGACAGAAAAATAACAAAATATGCATATTTTCCAAAATGTTTTTTATGAATTAATACATTTTGTTTTATTTAATTTTTAAAAAGTTAAAGTTTGACTTCGTTGAATTTAACATTAATTGCTCAATTTGTATTAATACTTTTATTTAAAAAACTATATTTCCAGTAGGCTATCAAATACGTATAGATACTTTGAAGTAAATATATATATAAGGAAAGACTCAGAAAGGGTTAAAGATATAAAAATAATATATATAATAATAATAATAATCACAGAAGAAGTTTGAGTGACATATAATTTAATTAAAATAACTATTCTTTGTTTATATGTAAATACGTTTATTGAACAGACGGCTGAGAGGTAAAGAGGAACTCAGAGGAACTCCTGATGAAACGGATCAGGTTGAGATGCATGCTGGGAAATGTAGGCGATTAAAGTCAATCATGTCCTTGAACTGTAGTTTATTACATATTACACACTCTGAAACAAATATCTCATCATTTGTTACTTGTCGTGTGTGTGTGTGTGTGTGTGTGTGTGTGTGTGTGTGTGTGTGTGTGTGTGTGTGTGTGTGTGTGTGTGTGTGTGTGTGTGTGTGTGTGTATGTGTGTTAGCTCTCATTGGTATCAGTGATTTCCTGAAACAGCTGCTCACTGTAACTTAAAGCACACAATTAGCATGAGATGCTAAGTGTGTTGTTGCTAATATTTAGCAACACACATATTTGATTTGTCCTACTTAATAGTTTCTAGTCACCGTTTCTCTGATGATGCTCTGCTGAAAACATCTGTGTTCACATCAGAAGGAGAGCCAGCTAACGTTAGCTGTTAGCCGTTAGCTGTTAGCAGCTGTTAGCACAGTCCTGCTTGGCTAAATAACAGAGCTAACGGCTTAACAGCTAACGGCTTAACAGCTAACGGCTAACGGCTAAGGAAAAGGTAGCGTCATCATGATGTGTTTGAATGTAATCCTGTAAAATGTAGCTTCTGTTGAGAAAGCGTTGTTATTTTAGAAAAGTGAAGAATTTTATGCAAAATGCGATATTTCGTTGTTTTGTGGGTATTTTTGTAGAATATGTGATTTTTTAAAAATAAAGTGTGGATTTTATTTTTGAAAGAGGGGAATTAAAAAAAATGAGGACTTTCTTTGAAGCTAGGTCTATTTAACAAATGGTGTAGTTTCTACTTCCGAGTGTTCCAGAGTTTTATATTGAGGTCGGTGTTACAGGAGAGGAGTTAACATGTGGAGTCTGCTGTGTGTTTTATAAACTCCGGACGGAGCAGACAGACGGTCAGACTCTGTCAATGATTCCTGACAGACCCTGACCTCTGACCTCTGCTGCTGCAAAACAACAACGCTATCTGTGGTTCTGCAGATACCACTGCTGTTTAAAGAGTTACCGACCTGGTGTTTTAAAACGGGAGGACGCTTTTTGGGAGGAAAGGAATTTGAGAAAGTACCGGACGATGATTGTCAATTAATTACGTAGTCGTTTTTATTTAAGTAAATAGAGTATCAAAGAAATGGTAACAGGGTGAACTTGCTGTGTAATATAGATCATGCTTTATTTGTTCACCATCTAAAGTTCTATCACGTCTCCGGGCTTTTTAAAATATTATATATCTTTTCACCAGCTTCTCGTGTTACAAAAAAAAATAAGTATTAACCAAAGAAATGACAGAAAAAAGATCCCAAAACTGGATATTTCATTGAGTTGGAAAGTAATTCACTTTAATATATATATCTTTTTAAAGGAGATGTACCCTCTTTCCACAGCGCGTAGAGATTGGGCTGATTGTGTTATTAATTCAAATGTGTATTCTCTTTAAATGTTTGCTTACTCATGGATTTTCACCTAAGGTCAACATGTCATAATGTCCTGTTTTTCCACAGCTGTGCCACAATACAAACATAGTTTTGCTGAAATGACGCCCATGTTTCTCTTGTGTTTCGCAGTGAGCACCCCTAATTTCCCTGATTTACGTATCGCTGTCAATCACACCCAATGGAAGCCAATCAGATAGCCGGGGACGGGCTGGCCGGGACGCAGAAGGAGGCGTCGCTGCGGGCGCTAATGCTACGTACCGGATACCAGCTGCTGCAGGTCGGAAATACACAAACATCGTAAACATCCCGACAACACGGAGAGATCTAGACCCCCGTGATTCATTTAATGCACACAACGCACTATCTGCTTTTTTTATTACTGCCGAATTGTATTACATATTTTATTCCTTTCTATTTCTACGTAAATACTGCTATATATTTACTATGTATTTTTTTATTTTCTATATTATTTTATGTTATTATAGTTTCCTTAAAATAGTTATCTTTCTGTGTTTTTAATGTTTGTTTTACTTTTATGTATGCACCACCACATCAAGTCAAATTCCTCGTACGTGTCAACCTACCTGGTGATAAACCTGGTTCTGGTTTATTTCCTCTTCTTCAACATGCATAAAGGTTTTACGTGAGTTTTAACAATTAAGAAATGTACTGTAAGCGGGCTGCACATGTTGATTTATACCAGTGGCAAAATGAATAGAATATAAGCATTTATTGTCATTATACAAACAACTAGAGTAAACTGTTCTCAGACCAGCTGCAGCAGGTCGTGAATACAGATAAAAAACATCTTATTAATAATAATAATAATAATACGTGACACTTATTTCGCTTTTCTAGAAACCCGACAACGCTTTGAAAGAATGACACAACAAAGAAAATACGTAAAGAGATAAACAAAAACAACACGAAGAGTTTTAGACCTCTCTGATCTATTATAACCCCACGTGTTTTCTGTTCTGTTCTTCATCATGCATAAAGTGCATTTTAACAATGAATAAATATACTGTCAGCGGGCTGCAAATGTTGATTTATACCAATGGTGGCTAAATGTACTCAAACAAAAGTGATCCACAACTGAGCAGAAGCTTTTTGTTTGTCAGGATTACAGAAACACGACAGGCCCGTTTACATTAGACTTGGTAGAAAGATGTTTATGGACCAACAAAGAACCCGTGAAAACGTTGGAGCAAATCCAATGAATGGGAACGATCAGGTTCTACTGATGGAAACAGAACTGTTCTCTTCTAGCTCCTTGTTTTACCCTAACACAACATGAACACACCTAAACATGGAGAGCTTCAGTTATTAGTCTCCAAACATCTGGAACAAACTCCCAGAAACCTGCAGGTCCGCTGCAACGAGGACGACTTCATCATCCAGGCTGGAGACCAGGGGCTACATGTAATCAAACCAAAGTGTTGTTGAACTAACGTTTTATTTCTGTGTTTTTGCTTCAGGAGAACGGGCAGCGGCGGTACGGCGGACCTCCGCCCAGCTGGGACGGCCCCCCGCCGGAGAGAGGGAGCGAGATCTTCGTGGGGAAACTCCCGCGAGATCTGTTCGAAGACGAGCTGGTCCCACTGTGTGAGAAGGTGAAGATAGCTTTATATTACACCTTTATCTACTTAATCCAGTGTTGGTCCCTGAAGGCAGCATCTCCCTGGTCCAATGGGATCTCTCCATGTGATTTGGGATTATGTCAGAAAAGAATCTCTGTGTCAAACAAGCGTTTATGATAATAACACGTTTAGTTCAGAAGGATAATCTCCACATATTAACACCACTTTATGATTTCTGAAGTAAAAAGTTAACGTTAGGCTTTAAAGGAACTTCACCACCGCTAAGCTAAAGGAGGCTAATGTTGGGCTACAAAGGAACTACAGCACGGTCACATGACTTCACCACCGCTAAGCTAAAGGAGGCTAATGTTGGGCTACAAAGGAACTACAGCACGGTCACATGACTTCACCACCGCTAAGCTAAAGGAGGCTAATGTTGGGCTATAAAGGAACTACAGCACGGTCACATGACCTCACCACCGCTAAGCTAAGGGAGGCTAATGTTGGGCTATAAAGGAACTACAGCACGGTCACATGACCTCACCACCGCTAACCTAAAGGAGGCTAATGTTGGGCTATAAAGGAACTACAGCACGGTCACATGACCTCACCACCGCTAAGCTAAAGGAGGCTAATGTTGGGCTATAAAGGAACTACAGCACAGTCACATGAATTCACATCACCACCGCTAAGCTAAAGGTGGCTAATGTTGGGCTATAAAGGAACTACAGCACGGTCACATGACTTCACGTCAGCACCGCTAAGCTAAATGAGGCTAATGTTGGGCTATAAAGGAACTACAGCACGGTCACATGACTTCACGTCACCACCGCTAAGCTAAATGAGGCTAATGTTGCGCTATAAAGGAACTACAGCACGGTCACATGACTTCACGTCACCACCGCTAAGCTAAAGGAGGCTAATGTTGGGCTATAAAGGAACTACAGCACGGTCACATGACTTCACGTCACCACCGCTAAGCTAAAGGTGGCTAATGTTGGGCTATAAAGGAACTACAGCACGGTCACATGACTTCACGTCACCACCGCTAAGCTAAAGGAGGCTAATGTTGGGCATGATGACGTTTAGTCGTCTCATTTAGACACTTGTTAGCCACCAGTGGAGTATTTACTGATGTATTTTAAGTCATAGAACAAAACATTAGCATAAGTCTGATCTAATCTTCTCTTCCAGTTCGGTAAGATCTACGAGGTGAGGATGATGATGGACTTTAACGGGAACAACCGAGGCTACGCCTTCGTCACCTTCTCCAACAAACTGGAGGCCAAAGCGGCGATGAAGCAGCTCAACAACTACGAGATCAGGTGAGCGTTTGTTTCTGTTTTTTTTTATCGACTATCTTCCCCGTTCGTTTTTAACCTCGTGTTTCTCTTCCCGCAGAAATGGCCGCCTCCTCGGAGTCTGTGCCAGCGTGGATAACTGCCGTCTGTTCGTGGGCGGGATTCCCAAAATGAAGAAGCGTGAGGAGATCCTGTCAGAGATGAGGAAGGTCACCGACGGGGTCGTGGACGTCATCGTGTATCCGAGCGCCGCCGACAAATCCAAGAACCGAGGATTCGCCTTTGTGGAGTACGAGAGCCACCGAGCCGCCGCCATGGCCCGACGCAAACTGCTGCCAGGTGAACAAACATATAAGACAATAATATTAATAATATGATATATAATGAGACTTCTTTGATCTTGAAAGGGCTCCCAGCACTACGCCCAAAGGCTCGTAGTGTTTATTTCGGACATTTAGGTGTAAACAAATCTACGGAGCTGATTGTTAGCTTCATTTTCTTTATAGTTTCATGTTTTTGCGACTTCCTCTCCGTTAGCTCCGTTATTTAGCCGAGCAGCACTGTGGTAACAGCTGAGGGATAAAAGCTAACGTAAGCTAGCTCTGCTTCTGTTGTTAACTTTTTTTGTTGACAGAGGCATTTGGTCCGTCCATAAAACTTTACTTTCTTTAACTATAACTTCTTGAATTTAATTTCAAAGTCATTCTCCATTTAATCTGGAAAACCTGCATGTTTTTGCCAAAAAGCAAATTAAATCTTTGGAAAATCCATTTCAAAACACAGATAATTGGATAATGATAGTTTCAATCATCATATATTTCCACATCTTTGCACACGCTACCAGGAAGATATTTAAAATCTTCCTGAACGCGAGTGTCTGCTGAAACTCATCCGGATACAATTTAGTTTTTTTAAAGCAGTCAAAGTACCAACATTACATCTCGTAAAAAAATGCCAAAGTCTACTTCTGTCCGACTGTAAGACGCCGTTATCAGCAGCCAATCACAGGCGGTGCCCCGGGGTCAGCGTCCAATAGGAGACAAGCTCTGCACATGATAAACTCTATTTATCCGAAGCGACCATAAACACGGTGTTTCTGCTAACGTCAGCGTGTTGGTCGTCACGTTTCAGGGACTCATTATTTGTTAAACTGCGTGCCTTCAGAGATAAGAGAGATAAACAGTTTTTATTGGTTTACGTAACGCTGGATGTTTGTGCAACAAGAACATAATGAACTGTGACCCTCATGTTCATCATCCTGATTTCATTACGATGCACCTTTAAGATGCCTATTAACAACATGAAGACTGTTTATAAGACTATCCAGAACAACCCATTAGGAGGGAAGTTAGCCTCACTAATATATGGAGTGAGTTTTCTGTTTGAATTTATCCATGAAATGCTGAAATATGAGTGCAGTAGATTTATGGCCAACAGGTTAATGTTTGCTTTTATTAAAAGAAAGGTTGAACGTACCGTCCACAACTGAGCAGAAGCTACAGAAACACGACAGGCCCGTTTACATTAGACTTGGTAGAAAGATGTTTATGGACCAACAAAGAACCCGTGAAAACGTTGGAGCAAATCCAATGAATGGGAACGATCAGGTTCTACTGATGGAAACAGAACTGTTCTCTTCTCACTCCTTGTTTTACCCTAACACAACATGAACACACCTAAACATGGAGAGCTTCAGTTATTAGTCTCCAAACATCTGGAACAAACTCCCAGAAACCTGCAGGTCCGCTGCAACGAGGACGACTTCATCATCCAGGCTGGAGACTACCAGGTACCTGGTAGTCATGCACCTGGTAGTCATGCACCTGGTAGTCATGCACCTGGTAGTCATGCACCTGATAGTCATGCACCTGGTAGTCATGCACCTGTTAGTCATGCACCTGTTAGTCATGCACCTGGTAGTCATGCACCTGGTAGTCATGTACCTGGTAGTCATGTACCTGGTAGTCATGCACCTGGTAGTCATGCACCTGGTAGTCATGTACCTGGTAGTCATGCACCTGGTAGTCATGTACCTGGTAGTCATGCACCTGGTAGTCATGCACCTGGTAGTCATGCACCTGGTAGTCATGCACCTGGTAGTCATGTACCTGGTAGTCATGTACCTGGTAGTCATGTACCTGGTAGTCATGCACCTGGTAGTCATGCACCTGGTAGTCATGCACCTGGTAGTCATGCACCTGTTAGTCATGTACCTGGTAGTCATGTACCTGGTAGTCATGTACCTGGTAGTCATGTACCTGGTAGTCATGTACCTGGTAGTCATGTACCTGGTAGTCATGTACCTGGTAGTCATGCACCTGGTAGTCATGTACCTGTTAGTCATGCACCTGGTAGTCATGCACCTGGTAGTCATGCACCTGGTAGTCATGCACCTGGTAGTCATGCACCTGGTAGTCATGTACCTGGTAGTCATGCACCTGGTAGTCATGCACCTGGTAGTCATGTACCTGGTAGTCATGCACCTGGTAGTCATGTACCTGGTAGTCATGTACCTGGTAGTCATGTACCTGGTAGTCATGTACCTGGTAGTCATGTACCTGGTAGTCATGTACCTGGTAGTCATGTACCTGGTAGTCATGTACCTGGTAGTCATGTACCTGGTAGTCATGCACCTGGTAGTCATGCACCTGTTAGTCATGCACCTGGTAGTCATGTACCTGGTAGTCATGCACCTGGTAGTCATGCACCTGGTAGTCATGCACCTGGTAGTCATGCACCTGGTAGTCATGCACCTGGTAGTCATGCACCTGGTAGTCATGCACCTGGTAGTCATGTACCTGGTAGTCATCTACCTGGTAGTCATGCACCTGTTAGTCATGTTGTATTATCTTTGCTTTTAAATTAGTGTTTTTAAATGTTATAATATGTTTCTGTTGCACTATTTCTTAATGCTCTTAAAGGTCACCAAAAATCCTCTTCTCCATGTCTCTTCTACATCAACATGTGTCCCCTCTTCTTCATGTCTCTTCTACATCAACATGTGTCCCTCTTCTTCATGTCTCTTCTACATCAACATGTGTCCCCTCTTCTTCATGTCTCTTCTACATCAACATGTGTCCCTCTTCTCATGTCTCTTCTACATAAACATGTGTCCCCTCTTCT